TCAAGAAAAAATGTGTTTTTTTCCTCCAAAAAGTAAAGAAACAAAGCCTCAGAAGTTTGGTCTTATAAGCTATTCCAAAGTAAAAATTGGAGAAATGCTTCATACTTTTTGACATATTTGGCAAACTGGGAATAAACACATGGTAACATAATAAAAGGCAGATGCTGGGGGACTATGTTGTCTCTTAATCATGTGGCATTAAGCTCACTGACTTTCTGGAATGCCCATGAGAGCTGATGCATATAAATCACACTGGCATGAGATAGAAACACCCCACCAAACTTTCTCACTCCTGTTCAGTTAAATCTCAATTTCTTTACACACTAGCATAATTTATTTCACTTAAGGAAATGAAGATCCAGAAATAACAAATACAAAATTTAGAACCTAAACTGTATATTTGGTGATTTTAACTACCATTATCTTGTATAAATTATTTGGGCTTAGAATTACAAGTCAATGAAAACTTAAGAGACTTCCTCTTACTGTCAGAAAGAACTGCATCTAAATCATTTTACACAAACAGGTGTCCACTGTCAGGTTCTAGAATGAAGAGAAGATAAACTCTCTGTGGTAAACCTTTTACTTTCTAATAGCTGGCTGCCTTAAGTAGCTCTTACACATCTTAAATACTTTCTAGAATAAGATGTACTTTTTGGTTTGTAGTAATATAGCCACTGACTATTCTCTATATGCTCTAGTAATTGTGAATACTTTTTTTCTATACTGAAGTCAGTTGCTTATTTATTGTGTGTCAGTAAATATGAACTACACCCTTTACATGGTGGTCTATATTAAGCAGTATCATTAAAACCAGAATGTCTGCATAATGATAATACTTCTTTAAAGCAGCACTAAATGTAGTAAAATTCCAATACAGTAATATTTAAAGAATTATTTTCTTTCCCTTCTAAAGAAGATTTTGAAATGCACTTCAAGCTCATGAAGACACTCATCATTCACAAAGGTTCACTGTCTTTATATAAACCCTTACCATGTCTTAGACATTACTTATTCGGAGTTTTTATCTTGCACTTCAATGATCTCATATTATATAGTATACTAATTTCTATTTAAGAAAAGATTTTCCTAAATGTTTATTTCATTTTACCTTTATTTGTCTAATACTTGTAGCATCCTCACTGATATAACCCAGCCTGAACATTAAAGTCACTCATTCATACATTCATGCCCTCGTTATTGCATGAAGACATTTTATTGAATCCAGACTTTGAAAAACATAGCAGATGTGGCACTGTGGAGGTTATAAGCATATATAAATCATGGTACTTGCACTTATCATCTTACATTTTAGAGATGGGAATAAGAGCAAAGAGAAACAAACAACAGGTCTGGATCCCTTTCTATTCCCAAATCTTTATATCCATGTCCCTCTGGCTTCATTTATATTCCGCAACCCCAACTCTTGGGCCAAATCACAACTCACACTTTAGTTCCCAAAATATACCATACCCATACCTTGGTAACAGTCCTTCAATAGTTTATATTGTGTACCTGCCTCTGAATCATATTCCAAATCCTTTTAGTCACAGAAAATAAAAAAATAGTTAATAGCCATTATTAACAGAGACATTCTGCACTCTTGAAATAACCTTAAGACATAGTATTTCATGGACTTTAACCATTCAAATAAAGTAGTAACAATATTTTTGTAGTTAAAAAAACTTCTACAAAGATACAGTAGGAATATTCAAAATCGGTTCTTTTGTTTGCAAATACACTAATATAAAAAAGGACAGAGGAGTGGAAGGAGGGAGGGAAAGATGAAGGGAAAAGAGAAAGCAAAGAAATGGAAAGGAGTTAAGATAGCTTCTCCCACTATCTGTGTTAAGATCTGGCCAGATGAAAGTTTGTTGTTTGATTTTTGAATATTAAGTGTGCAATTTAGGAATAATGTTACTTTACCCATATACTTTAGTACCTGACACTCATTTCAGCTGATGCCTATTACCATGGCACCTTTGTTGAGAGAAGCAGATATGTAGCTTACTGAAGAGCATTATTACTGATCTCCATAGATCAAGTAGAAGAGGAATGCACTTGGCATCCTCTCCTTAAAAGATTAATGGCTCAGTCTTCACGTCCGGCCCAATTTATAAAACCAGAGGCACCAAGGCCAGGGGATAAAAATCAATTTTTGATGTTTGATCTCACACATTAACCAAGAGGGCTACTTATCCTTGTTCTTTCTTATCATTTAATTCCTTTTTTATTTTTAATTTTATAAATCTTTTTGAAAATTCAGTAAACATTTTTTCCTTTTTTTAATAAATTAATTTTTTATTGGTGTTCAATTTACCAACATACAGAATAACACCCAGTGCTCATCCCATCAAGTGTCCCCCTCAGTGCCCGTAAACATTTTTTAAAATGCAATGCTTTTCATGTGTCTTTCGCTAGAATATTATTTTTAACTCACTGTGACTAAAAAACCAGAGCTAGATATTTTAATAACTAAGAGCATATTAAATATGATTATAATCATATACAATCAGTTGTAATGTTGAATTTTGTATGTCACATTACTTGTATATAGCATTAACTTTAGATAAACACAGATGGTCATTCCATAAAAATGTAGAAGTAGGTATTTGTTTCTCATTAACAGAACTAATTTGAAAGCAATAGGAGGTCTTCATAAACAAGCTGGAGATATAATATTTTTATCACATTGCCTTATACTCCTATTGCTATGAATTTAATGAAAAAATTAAATATAATGAAGTTATGTCATCATAACATCCTTGGTTAAAATATTAAAAATTGAGTTTTATGATGTTTTGGTTTAAATATCACTTTGGGTATACATATAACAACCAAGGATTGAATCTGGTCTCTCAGGTCATGTTCTAAAGTTTTGCATGCATTTATATTGAAGGCCTTTGATATCAGTGGAAGCTTCTAAAGTATATGGGTAAAGTAACATTATTCCTAAATCGCACACTTAATATTCAAAAATCAAAAAAGCAAACTTTCATCCAGCTGGATCTTAACACAAATAGTGGGAGAAGCTATCTTAACTCACATTACACAGGAAACAAATCAAACCTGCCACTTAATCTCAGTATCTGCCTTATTTATCACTTTTACATTATGATACAGAAAACACATTTGGCTTGGAGGTATTAAGTAGCTATGTGACAACTATATCTGTAAACAGGAGAACAAGGTCTCAGAACTTCTGCCAAGCAGAGCAGCATCTTATTACCACACTCCTAAAATAATTATATCATTAAACTAAAAATTGATTTTGAGACAGGTCATTGACTTTTCTCATGTCTCTGGAGCAGAAGGAGTTATGAATTTTCCAACTGTCCCACATTTCTAGCTCTTCTCCCACACTACTCAAACAAATAAAGTAAATCCCAATTTAATAAAAGTTTTCCCCTAAAACTAGAATTTATATAGCATGGATCTGTCACCACTATCTGATGGTGGAAAAAAAAAGTCACATTTGCACTTCAATACATCAATCTTAAATCTGACATACACAAAAAGAACTGAAAAAAATTTTATGTCACCAAGTATAGTCACCAGAGAAAATTGTTTTTAAGATTCAATAAATATTTCTATTTTGAATAGTTTCACTTTGTTACAATACTTATATAGTTAAATGTTTCTCTTTTACGTGGTCAGTATCTCAAAGATCCATGTTAAGTACTTGTTCCCCCTGTACCTACTGGAACTCCCATAGGTATGCTCAACTTCCTGTGAAAGTGGCAAAGAAATCAAAATATCTGCCATTTGCCAGAAATCCGCCCAGATTATGAAAGCCACTACATCATAATCCTGGCTCTAGGCTTTTCTCCATTAACAAATGGCCACCAAAAGGAACATGTGAAATAATGAGTCAACAGAGAAATACTATTTTTTCACATTGTCTACAACCACATCAATGACAGATACAACAGCTGTACAATAACCAAAAAGTTCTAGAGCCAAGAGGCTCAGTAAAATTCCTTTAACTCCCAACCCTGCATCATCCCCTTGTCCATGCACAAATACCCCTCAAGTCCTCCTCAGACTTTCATCCAAGGGAAGGGGGAAGCTCATGAGGGCAGACTTATTCTCTACTTCCCTGGCATGTGACCTTTTTCATTAGATAATCAATATGAGTTGGAAGCCTCTTAACCTAAAGGACTGAGAATGGTTGCACTAGCCACATCTATACCATTTCATCCCCTCCTTTCTGAATTCAAAAAATACTTTTGTTTATCCAATTCTTGATAATCACAACACCTTGCAATAGCTTCAAAAATTCTGTAACCCTACATAAAATGTGAGCATGGCAAGGCTTTGCATTATCAGTCATTTATTAGACAAAATACAACTCCATACTGGTAACAGTATTTATCAATTGCCTCATACATTTCACTCACTCCAAATGTCAACTGAAAACGATGATGTCTTATAACACAAAATTTTCTGTAAATTTCAACATTATTCTATTTAGCAGCTCCTTTCCTATTACATTCTACTTCACCTCTATATTTTCTCCTAACACATTAGGATGCTTCCCCATAATATTTTATTAACTCTAGTGCTTTCTTTAAGTATCTACAGAATAATCCAGCAAATCAGCTGAAGTACAACCCTCAAAAGAATCTGCCCTAAGCACAGCTAATACTGAAATGGTAACAGTAAAGTTAACATGAAAATAAATCACAATATTTCCATGAAAAAGTTAAAACGACACCTTTAAAAAAGAACGTTGAAAATCACACTACAAAATGAAAACTATAAGCTTTTGGGATTGGTCCATTCAAATTCATAATAATTGATGCTATAAACCACATTTTTCAATGTATTCCCACCTTTCTAATTCTCTGTATGCTCCATTCATTTAAAAATATGTCTGCAATACTTCCACAAGGTGAGCCCCCATTAATTCTCAATCTCTCCAGAAATGGCACAGATGTGAATATAGCACCATCATTTCAAGCCATAAAAATGAGAGTAAAGGAAGATACACTGCTTACCAGAGCCTCTTTTGGTCACTACCTTCAAACTCTGAGTAAAAGTAGCATATAAGAGAATCAAGTGTGGAATCGGAGCTTTCATCTTCCAGCTTTTAAAGGCTGTTCCCTAAAGCAAAGATAAAAAAGAAAAAAAACATACATTTTTAAAAAATATGTAGTAATATGTTAAGATTTTTGTTCAACTTTTGATCATGCACGCAATAAACATCATAAAAGAATATGAACAGGATCTGTATTATGTTTTCCTATATGTTATAGTTGCTAAGTAAAATCCAAACCAGTAGTGCCAAAATTATGTCTCTATAGGGACCCTAAAATATTTTAAAATCTTAAGATTCCCTTTAAGGTTTAGAATTTCTGTTTAGACTAACTCTATTTAAATAAGTGGAAACAATCCCTTCAAAAGGATATCACTTACAATTTATTTTTAATATAAATTACCAAGCACTGACATTTTTAAATGTTCCATCATACAATAGAATATTATTGTACTGTGTATCATTCCTTCCAATCAAAAAGGAATGGTAAATTCTATGCCTTTAAAGATTTAATTATAATTTTACAATTCTCTTTCAAAAAGCTTTACTAAAAGATACTTCAAGAGAATTTTAAGACTCTTGTCTGTCTCTGAAAGCTACAGAAAAATACATCACTTCTTCCTATTACAAGGCTCTCAGAGGGATACTAGAAGGGACATTAGCCTAGTGTTTGGATTTCAAAAGGGGGATAGATTTCATTTGAAATTAAATGAAATGAAACACTGTCTTTCTTGGAAAATCGTCCTTTTATTTTTGTATAAGACTGAGATAGTAGAGGTGAAAGACTGAATTTCAAAAAGTAGCAAGTCAGAACACAGTTCAAATATATTGTCAATCCATGACAGCACAAGTTTCTCTGCAAGACAGTTGAGGACTGATCATATTCAGCTTTCAATCACTATGACTTTATTAAAAATGAGGAAGCTGAAATGGTAGTTTGACAGTCACATATTTTGCTCTCCTACTGCCTCAAATACCTCTGAATATTTTTTACCTCTGAATATTTTTAAATGATTAATTCATTTGCATTAATAAAAGTCTGTTAAGACACATTTTAATTCACAAAACAAAATCACTATCTATTCACTTGCAGTAAGGTGATACCATCATCATTTTAGTCAAAAAGTCAGTGAATTTTTAACACAAGCATTGAGAATAAGCTATTTTAACTCCAGCTCCTTTAAATGACGACAGCTTGTTTCAGTTTTCTAACCAAGGACCCTAAGTTTGCATAAAGACATAAATGAAACCTAGTCCGAAAAGCTAACTCATCAAACACATCTGACGAACTGCCACATTACAGTGCAATCCTGAGTCATGCATTCCTAAAACCTGAATCCCATTTTCCAGGCACTGCACTAACTGGAGCTGCAGGAAATCTTCAAGTTGATATCTTCAGCCTTCAGGTTAGCAGTGAGAATCAGTTCCTCTCTCAGTGTGAGTTTAATCAGTGCTACCCAAGAAACTCCAGGATCCAACTATATACTGTACGACCTTCCAGTTAACTATCTTATTACCTTACTCTTGTTCAAAATAATACTTCCTCACTCATTTCATTTCTATAAGGCACACAGCTAGTTTTAAATTTTATTTTTTAAAACTAAATCGGTTTGGAAAGCATCAATTTGGCAACATCAAGATCCTTAATTGAATCTCTTGATATGCTGTGTATTACGGGAAAAATATATAGCATATCACAGATTCAACAACTTGAATAAAACACATTCACATCTTGGTCAATGTACAATAATCTTTACAAACCTCAATATAATTTATTTTATCTTATCTTGAAATACAGATCAAAAATATCCAGTCATAGACACCCAAGCTTTGCCATATTTGTTGCATAATTAAAATCCTTACCCACAAATCACAATGCAAAGTATATATAAATATAGTGATGTTCTTATGTACGTTCTTATTGTCACATGGTGGGCTCATCCTATCAATTACCTCATTTCAAGTAGCTTCAAATTATGAATAGATGGACCTGAAATCATCTGCCTATTTCCTGTTATACCATCACCATTTGATTTCATTTAAACCACTACTAAACCTTACACAGAATGAACATATTACAATGGTTATGAGCAATCAGTCAGTGTAGGTTCTTATCCCAGTTTCACAACCTATTAGCTGTGTCATTTTGGGCAAATAACCTCTCTGAAACTAGTTTCTTCATTTGAAAAATAGGTATCATTACAGTATATAGCATAGTACTAGAAGAGCACTGGCACATACAACAGTCAATAAATGAAAGCTGCTGTTGTTACTGTTTTCATTGCAGTTGACTGCTGCTGCCATTATTGTCAACACTATAGATGCAACTCACATCCTCTCACCTTGACATTTTCTGTATATACCAGCTTTCTCTACATCCTTTCTCAAGCTATCAGCTTATCTGTTTAATTACAATGTCTTTATTTTCCCAGACTTGAAGTTCCACCAGGGTGAATGTGTTTTATCCATCTCTTTATTTCTAAGGCTCAGTAAATTTTAGCTACAAAAGTGAATGAATGAAAGAATGAATGTGGCTGCTAATACATGCAGTTGAATTTTGGCAAACTCATCATTTGGTAAATACTTATTAGGCATATACTAGTTACAAGATGCTGTGCTACAGCATAGTGGGGACACAAAGACAACGCGATCCACTCTAATAAAGAAGGTCCATAGACCAATAAAGGAGACAAACGCTTAACCTACTTAATTAGACTGGCCCTATTGCCATATGGTGAGTATAATGTGCTGAGGGAGTAGAGGGAAAAATCTATTCTGCTTCAGGTTGGGTCTGCTGAAGTCACAGCAAAGAGCTTTCAGAGGAAGAGGCATTTCAGGTCATAAAGGAAATATTTTTTTTAAGGCAAAGGGACTTCTGGGTCTAGGATAAAGTATAACTGAAATTGTCCCTCTGGTAGGTAGAATAATGCCCACCTGCAAACATATTTACATCCTGGAACCAGTGAATCTGTTACTTCACATGTCAAAGGGATTTTGCAGATGTGGTTAAATTAATGATTTTGAGATGGGATATTATCATTAAGGTGAGACCAATGCAATAGCAAGCATCCTTATAAAAGGGCAGTAAAAGAATGATATTCATAGAGAGAAAACAGAAGGATAGAGGCAAAGGTCAGAGATTGGAGTGATGCACATTAAAGATGGAGGAAGGGGATATGTGCCAAGGAATGACTTTGGCCACAAGCAGGAAAAGGCAAGTAAGCAGATTATCCCCCTAGATCTTCCAAAAAATATGCAGTCATGCCAACACCTTGACTTTAACCAAGTGAGTCCAATGCATTTTGAACTTCTAACCACCAGAACTCTAAGACATTAAAATTGGGGCTGTTTTAAGCCACTAAATTTGTGGTAATCTCTCACAGGAGCAAAATGAAACTAATACAGAAAGGATGTGAAATGGCAGGTTCTAGTAGGGAAGTGTAAATAGATCACAGGTTGTGGGCTGCAGTGACAGAAATTAAAGATGTCAGGGGTGCCTGGGTGTGGTTCAGTCAGTTGAGGGTCTAATGCTTGATTTCAGCTCTGGTCATAAGCTCATGCCCCTCCCTCACCTCTGCTGGCACACACTCTCTCTCTAAAAAGATAAAAAATATATATATTTTAAGAAAGAAATTGAAGATACTAATGTGGGATTGTTAATAGCAAGATATGCTAGGTAAGAATCTGGGACTTTTCCTTCATGCCCCCTACAGTGTTTTTCACTCATATACTGTCTAATTTCATCTAAGAATATTTCATGCAGCTTCACTTTCTTAATCTTTTTTATCATGAAAACATTATGTATACTGAATATGTTTCTTCAGAACATGACAACTCACCTAAAATTCTGACCTATTTTCTTTTCACACAATTCTAAGAATTCTTTGCAGTATAGACAACAAAGAACCAATGGAAGCTTGTAAATGAATAATCTTAACTGTTTTAGAAAGCATAGTTTGTAGGTGGAAGCAACTACTTAGCAGACAATGGTATAGGAAGATGAAGGTCGGCCTTAATTTAGTAGAGGTAAAATGCTGAAAAAAGATAATGTATTTGGGAATAAATACAGTTCACAGATATTAAAGGAAGTGGCATTAAAAGCAAGTTTGAGAGTGGATCTAAGGCATTTATTTTAAGCAACCAGGTCTATTATGATCTTATTTACCAATATATAAAAATAGAAAAGACATTTTGGGCACTGATGGAGAAGTACTTAAAATTATATTTAAGGCACATATATTTTGAACAGTCTGTGGAATCTCCTACTAGAATTGTCTTGTAGTTAATTAAAATATTAGCCAGAAGCTCAGTGTAAAGATGGAAGATGATAATACCATAATTTTAGCTTAAGTTAAATACATGAATACAATAAATGGGAATGAAGCATAGAAAACAAAGAGGAGAAGGCTTACAAATATTTATGAGATAGCAAAGGGAATCAAAGGGAGAAGGGGAAAATTAGGCAGTAAAAGGAGAGCTTATGTATTTTAAGGATAAAAGAGACAAATCTAGCTTTTAGATTTAAGATACTGCCAGTGATACTGGCTACTACTTTGATTAAATAAATGGGGGCATAATCAGAAAATTTAATGAGGAACATAAGTTTCATTCATTTGTTCCTAAATGACAGGATGTAGAGTCCACAGTTCAGAGTTGAGGTGAGGGATAACTGTAGTTGAGAATGGGAAAGATCAGAACTTATATGTAAACAGAAGCAAAGAGAAGCAGAACCAGAGGAAGGAGGTAAATCTAGAAAGGAGAGATATCAGTATGGGCAAGTTGGGACAAGCTATAAAAACAGAAAGGGAGAAAAAAGTATAGATGGATGTATATAAATTTCAATTTTGAAGTGAAAAGGAAGGAAGTAGAACTGGTTTGTTTTATTCTACTTTCATCATAAAGCATAGAAAGCTGGGTTTTAAACTGAAAACTAAGTGGGGTAGGAGTCTTACTCCTAGCAACTTCATCTCTAAGTCCTAGTTTTCTCATCTACAAAATATGGGTATAAATATGTGAGATATTTATTTCTAGAATTTATGAAGACATCTATACATTTACTTTAAATTTG